AGAAAAAAGGATTGTGATGTCAAACCTATGAACACAACTCGAGTTTACATGTAAATGAAAGCTAACTACTTCAAATTCATAAAGCTCTATAATAGATGGAGTGGTTTGTTTTTAATATTGATTAATTCTGGAGACATAAAAAATGTTCGGTCAGCAAAAGAACACAGGTAACAAAACAGATAGCAAAAACCCCAACATATCTAAACATGCTGCTTAGGAAACACCAACTATATATTTTTATGTCAGTTCAGTGTCAAGAAAAATGACTAAGGCGAGGTCAAACATGTGATGAAGGATTAGGTGTTTCAGAGTGGATTTATGAGGGCCCAAATCCTTCATATTTATTTAAAAGACATTGAAATTCCTCATCCCCTTCCTGATGTCATTCCTGTAGTTCTCCTTTTATGCTGTATGTTCTGAAGGGAACATACATCTGACATGGTGGAGGCAAAGGGTGTTTCCATCTTTAAAAATGGCATAGGAAGTCATTGTGAATAAGGCAGCAAAGAAAATCCAGACTAAGACTGGATGGCTAAACAAATTAGCCTACCCATTCTGTCAATAACTTTTAAATAGACATAAACTGTGATTACACCTGGGTCCTTTTTCTAGTTTTGATATTATTGGGTCATTTTGTACATTTCTTTGGGTATGTTTTCTTTAATATCTGTAGTTCTTTTTTTTTAGTAAATCAAATTATTTTAACTTTATTTTCATGAAAAAATATTTTCAGAAAAATCTCTCTTCCTTTTTCATCACCTTCTATTTAAATCACTGTAGGAGAAATTAAAAAGTAACAAGATATTTTTCTGAGTGATAGTGTGCTTCATTTGCCTCACTGGTCTTCATTACACAGCATTCTTAGAGAATGTACACACACACACATATATACACACACACACACATATATATACACATATATATATATATATATGTATATATATACTTTTGCATTTCTGAATCCTTGAAGAATATTTCAAAAGTTGTAACACATTAGGACTTTCTCACCTTGTCTCCAGGTAGAGTTAAGATTATCAATATTAATTTGATTGTGATTTTTACCGTTCAGAATCAGGAGGGAACCATGATAGTGTTAAAAGCAAAGACATGAGCAATGAAATACATGGTTCACTTTCCAATCTCCAACATGTTAGAAATGTAAGCTGAACTTTACTGAAATGCATATCTCAAAAATGTTGAAGTCAGTGAACCTTGGGTGAACCTTGCATACTGATGAGAAGAATGTAGCCAGTCTTCAGCGAGACATGTTAAGGATGAGACATGACATGCAATGTTTTTGATGTACTAGTAAGCCCCTAAGGTTTACTTCTTAGGATATTATAAGGATTAACAAGAATGAAAAAAAAGTTCCAATCATCACATATTTATTTATCTATCCATTAATTTACATACCTAATACGTATTAAGTAATTGCTTGCTACTGCTTGCCTGACATGTTACAATAGCACAGACAGGGAAGAATCTCACAGATTGTCATGTTTGAAGACTAAGAACAAATAAATGAGTAGTAACTACAAAAACTCATTGGTAGTGTTCTAATTGATCAAATGATACTCATGTTAGCAGATGTCATCTTCAAAAATATAAAATTAAAGAAAATAAAATTTAATAAGAATTAAAAGTATCACATACAGATTTAGAAACGTGGATAAAGTAACATTTTATTAGAATCAAAATCATGTTGTGATACATGTTATTGAGTTTTTCTTTTTCGTTTCTTTCCTTAAAAGATTCTTCGATGAGTTTTAAGAAATACAATGTCTGTACACTTCAGAATTCAGGCATGGCCTCGAAATACATTTCCTTAATAATACCCTAAGCAGTCTTTGGTTTCCTTTTTTTTTTTTTTTATAGAGGAGCAGAAGTTGTTTTTAGTCTTCAATTCAACTGAATAAATTTCATGAGAATTTATTAAACCTTAGGTACCTTAGTTGCATAGATAAACTCATAGATAGAAGGGAAGATATCTAAACTGAAAATTAGGTAGAGATTCTTCATCTGCAATTTCTCTGGACTTTTTTATAAATGTCCATGCAAGAGATTTTTAATTATTTTAAATATCAGTAGAGGAAACAGAACCTCACAGTAGGAACTCTGAGATTTCTGTTTGCCATCTCTGCACTTGCCTCTGTAACAAGACTCTCTAGGGCTTCGCTCCCTTGAATACATCTGCACTTCTTTTTAGTCCACTGACTAAACTAAGTGTATTCAGATGTTATTACATCATTGAAAAATTCAGCCTTCTTAATATGGATATCTTAATGAATTTTAATGGTACAACGTCCTTCAAATGATCTACCAGCATCAACATTTAGATAAAATGCAAAGGCAATCGTGATCTGTATTAAAATAAAATTAAGCATCAAATAGAGTTTAACCCAAAATGTTAACTGCAACCAGTTTATGGGATATTTGCAAAGTCAGTTATTCACCATTTTAATCACTTTCTTCACAACACCTCATGAACTTAGCATGGCTTGACCCTTACAATAAACCCTTTCTGCCCTGGTGACTAAAACACATGAGCACCACATTTTTTTTTGTCCTGTATTCAAAATGATTTTCAGACTTGAACCTGTAACAGAATCACATGGGTTGTGGAACTTGCGTATTGTTATGCCCTGCCCTGATACTTTCTGGTTTGTGAGTTTGGGCGTAAGACACAGAAATTATATGTCTAATGAGTCCTAGTTAACATCAATGATGGAGAAAGCATTCTTCATTTCCAATATGATGTTCAGACAAAAGTTCTGAGGTGTTGTATGGTAAGTAGCTGTATCCCTTTACATCAGATAAAATAAAGTATGGATTGCTTGCATTTTTTTTCATTATGGTGGATTCACTAATCAAATAACTTTGATGTTGGTAATTTCATCAGTACATATGAGCCTTTTCATATATAAGTACTATGAATATTAGTGCATTATCTAGGTATCCCGTTAGAATGCACTTACTTGTGATCCCAAGTTATAAGAAACTATCTCTTCAACTGTCCCACTCTTCAGATGCACTCATATACAAAATGAATGACTTTTCTAACAGTCTAACCTGGTAACAGAAAGTCTGTGTAGAGAGTTGGGTAAACGGGGAAAAGAATGGCACAACTGATTCGGAGGAGACCCCTGTCGTCCCTTTGACTTTTTAACATGAGATTCTCACAGAGTTGTTCCTAAGTAAAGGGTTCAGTTTGTACTTGTCTCTTAAATAACTGTATATTCACACTGCTCTAAGGAGTTGTGTGCATTAGACATCTTCTTACCTTGCCCTTTCATTCAATTATTTTTGATTCTATGACTCCAGAGCTTTTCCATGCTTTTAAATACAAAAGCATATATACTGTTGTTTAGTCAGAATAAATTACAATTCTTTCTTCTCAAATCTGGTTAGAGTTCGATAGCTTCCTTTTTAAAGTACAATAGTTTTCTAAGAATCAAAACATCATGTCACTAATCAGTAGCAATGCCCTTAATAAAAACGTTAATAATGATCATTTCATTGGACATTTCATGACAGTATTATTTAATTTTACAAAAATAATCAGAATTTACCCAAGAGAAACCACTCTATGTTTTAAGCATAAAAAGAAACTAAGTTTCAGAGTGTCTCCAATTACTCCCTTAGAGAAGGAACACTAAAACAATGACTTCAATGTGGAAAGTGTAATTTAAGAAACCTCTCTCCTAATGACTGCCTCTATGCTTAAGGATAAGTTGCACTTGCAGCTACTTTATGTCATAGGAGGACTCAAACTGACTGCAATTATAATAACTTATAGAATGTAACTAGATAAATTTCTTAACAAATTTAAACATAATGTAAACATTAATTTTTAACTTTAATGCATTTCCCAATATATTGCATGGTACAATGCAAAGACTCAAAAGTACTGAAGTTCAAAGATTGTAGTTCTCACAATTGAACAAGTCATAAATCACAAGATAATGTCATGCACAGAATGATCCTTTTTCTCTTTATTGAAGACTTTAAAGTCCAATGGAACATTCATATTCAAATACGCACAATATACTTAGACCCATCATCACATACACAACGTTTTATTATTCTCACAGTGTCTCCCTGTTACTGCCACTTTTGCTGCCACAGTTCAGTCAGATTGGACTCATATGATAGTTATAAGCAATAGAAGCATAAGCCATATATTTTTTTTTACTATGTGAGCTCTTGTCCAATGTTTCACATTGAAGTAACAAATATCATGGAATCATAAGTGAGAATTAAGATAATTCTCTGTCATCCTGGAAACAACGTGGCATTGTTAGAGTGGCTTTTGAAAATGAACCCAGGACCTTCAGTGTAGGATTCCAAGAGTCTGTGTCTATCTAAACAGTTCTCTGCACAGTAGCAACTCTTCTAATCTCTATCATCTATTTATCTCAGAATAAAATCCTAATCATTGTTTGCATATTTTATCCACTGGCCTGAAAAACAGCATTCATTATTAGAAGAGAACACATGTAACTCCTCAAGAAGGAATCTTGTAGGGAGTTTTGTGTGAGGGAAACTCTTTCTGGCAGCCACACATAACTTGATGGGTAAAAAAGTATTGTGAGGATTCAAGGTTTAAGTCTTCCTTCCAAGATCCTCCCCAAAGCCCACTCGAATCACTGTAACAGTTCCAAATCTCATTCTAGATGCCCGTAAATACTCAAATTGGAAAGAAACCTGTAATTGCCCAGTGGAATTTTCAAATACACTTAACTTTGCTATTTCAAGCCACAGACATCAAATGGAAACTAAGGTAATGCTCTTAATTTTCATCAACTTATCACAGCTGAGGTTTAAAGTGATGGATTCTGCTCAAATCATTCTTGGCACAAACCATCCATGACAATTTAGAAAGCTGAAAATGAGTCTTTAGACCAAAGTACCAGACCACAAAAGGGATATCACTGGCCTATTACAAGCAATGGGAGCCCTCTGAAGTGATCAGAAATGCTGATGACAATTTTATGTTACAGGTCATTCAAACAGTAAGTGCCATGGACAAAGATGATCCCAAAAATGGACATTATTTCTTGTACAGTCTTCTTCCAGAAATGGTCAACAACCCAAATTTCACCATCAAGAAAAATGAAGGTAAATATGTCAGCTTTGTGAAATGGTGTAGTGTAGAAACTGGGAAATGGCATGCAGTTTCTCAATGTAAATGGAAAATACAGTTAAAATACTTTTGTTATGAATAGCTGAAAGTCATTTTATCAGCAACATAGCAAGGTAGTTACAGAATTTCCTCTTCCTAATATTGAAATTACAAATAAAAAAATCCATTGATGAAAACTAGTGGTATTCCAAGGAACACCTCAATCACCTCCTTCAGTGCTTCCAAGAAAACTGAGATCCTGAGATATCTGTCACAGAATGAAATAGTTTGCTCTTTGTAGTTGTAACTTTTAATTGAATGTTTACTAAGTCTTTTGGGAAAGTCTGTTCGAATATTTCATGGATTGTGGGTACACAATAGCGGTATTTGTTTTAATCCTGTACCATCTTTAAATAGCAAATAGCTAACAAAAACCTTCTTGAAGGACATTTCTTATCAGTATTATTTGAGAAATAATACACTAATTTTATTTCTATGTCTCTGAGTCACAGAGAATATTTAATCTATTTCTTCATTTGTTGAGAGTCTTACTTAAATGGCTAGTGTTCCTTTTACTATAGTTTATTGTAAAGTAAGGTTGTAGCTCAGTCTTCAAAAGTCCATTTCATGTATATATTGATATTTCCTCAGCTGCCATATTTTGGAAAAGGAATTTTGACTTTAATTGAGCTCTAATATATTCATCTTAGACCTCCATTAGAATATTAGTATTCTCCAGGTCTGATTTCTGGTTTTCTTATAGGCATTTCTTTGCTTTCTAAATGCTCCATAAAGAATTTATATTCAATTAGTATAGGAAACTTTACTTCATGATAATAGTTTGGAATATTGCTATCTCAGTGTGAAGGAGGCTAATGGATTTTGAGAAAATTCTGTTCTGAAATAAAATATCATTTTATGGCTTAAATGTATCATGGCCTTGCCTTTCACCACAGTGCTACTTAGCTCTTTTGGAATGCTTTGATAAATGTAGATGCATCACAGAAAAGAAAGCAAGAAGGTCAATATACAGACATTACTCACCTAGCTGGCTTCCACTATCATAAACATTAAAATGTCAACATTTCGGTCTCTCTCCTTAAAGATGCAATACTTGCATGTTAGTCATACCAATCAGAAACTCTTATCCAAGAATATTATTTTTGTTCTCTTATGAAGACATGAAGGATTCGTCTTTTATGGAAATCTTGTGTATATGCCTATGCTAAAAGCCCATTGATAAACACCAAACTAATCTGAGAATCTAGACTAATGTGGCCCCTGCTTATGTTGATCATGAGCTAATTGGTGTCTAGATTATTTTTGTATAAAATATCCTACATTTAAAATGTCCATATAAAGGAATATGTTCTCATTCTTTATATTCAGAGAACTTATTTTTTTTTCTGTCCATTCCATAATTTAAAGACTTGCCTTTTTATAGTAGTGGCCCTGGAAGACACTGTACACAAGTGTTGGATGAATGAGAAGGTAAATTACTGGATTCCAGATAAAGTCTAATTTCTGCCTCTATTTAAAAGGACAATATTTCTGAAGGGAAAATGTCATCTAATAATGAACAGATTTCATCTGTTCTCTCTGAAATTTTGGAATTAGTGGAAAAAAAACAATAGAAATGTTGTGTTACACATTTCGATAACCTTTCAGAGGAGTATTTAAAGTTGCACCGATTGTGTGTTTTGTTTTATAACTAGAAAATAGAAGCCCAAAATTTGGCCTATCTCTTAGGTCTGAAAAGAAGACTGGGTGTTACAAAACAGCTCAGAATAAAAAAAGGCACTCTGTGTACTACAATTGTTCATTTTAAATCATATAGTCATTTGTTTTGCAAATTGTGACTGCAAAATTTGTTTTTCTAAGGGGGAATATTTTTATTAAAGAGGAAAGAGCTGCTGTTCATATTTATGTCCGGAAAACATCATAAACTAGGACTGTCTTGTAGAATGTAAGGCATTTGTTCACTGTGACTTCGGAATCAGGATCCAAATATTCAACATCCCCTCATAGAATAAATCATGATGCTGAATGCCTTTAGAGTAGATATGTAAAGTTTATACACAATTTGCCTTTGCCTAGATTGTAAATTCATGAACTGATTCATAGGCTACTACTGCTTTGCTGTATGGATACTTACTGTGAAAAAGGATGAAAACAAGGTGTCTTGATAATATATGAAAACAATTAAAATAATCAAAGAGTTTGCCAATTTTAAAAGGTTTGTATAGATGGATAGATATATAGTAGATAGACATATAGATGGTGAAGCGGGAAGCTGGTACACAGTTTGTAATTATTTTCAGTGTTAATGATGGGAGACTCTAACGTTGATGTTGATATTTTTATTATTTACTGTGATATCTAATGTTGGAAGCTTAGGATAAAATCAAATACTCTAAATATATTTATAGCTATTATCCATTTATTTCCTTCTTAATCTGTACTTTTAATGATTAGGAATTGATGCTTTGCAACAGAGATAATCATGATTTATATATTTAAGACTATGAGAATAAGCCATTTAAAAATTTTGCATTGTCTAATACATTCAAATCCACTCTTGATGGATGAATTACTCTCCCACTTCATGGAGACAGTTGAAAAGCTGTGCATTTTCTGAGGAACTTGCAGTCATGCCTTCCAACTCAAAATTATTGTGATCGTTCTTCTTAAATAGATTGGTCCTCATGCAATTTTCACTTCACTAACTCATAATCAAAGACAAAATAAGATAGAAATGAGCTGTCTCTTTCAAACTACACAGTTGAATGATTTCACAAATAATTCTCCTTCTAAGTATATAGTAATAACGTTTCTAACATAATAAGATAGCCATTTTCAATATGGAGGAAGGGAACATGGAAGGTCAAATATGAAGAGCCATTTATATTATGCACACCTAAAATTCAGAGCACCTTGAATCTTTTAATTTTATGGTATAGACAATATGGTAAAGTTATATAGGCTTCTTCATTTTATAATTGGGTGAATTTATAAACAAAGAGTTTTGCTGACTGCATTTCAGTATTGGTTTCAATTCTAACTGTGCAAATGGAAAATACCCAACAATTCAGTACAAGAAGACAAGGAAGATAAATGGGCCTTTTACAGATACCAAAATATCTTGCTTTCAGGAAATCTGAGGTCTGCAGAACCTGCTTTTCTCCAGCCTGAACACTGTAGGTAAAATAGTTTTTGACTGGAATTGCAGCATCACTGGCTGCTGAGATGGGAACTCTTGTGGCTTGTATCAAAATATTGAACTGATTTAACACGTGAAAGGAGAATACTGTGAAGCTCTTTTCTTTAAGGAGAGCTCTTTAGAGGAAATACACAGTGAACTTAAAATTAGTCTGTACTTAGTTAGGCTGGAGAAAAATCTAGGAAAAGAATCAGAATCTCAAATTAAGTTGTTTCCCCTCCCCTTGGACACCTTTTAGTTACCATTAAGTACTGCTAAAAGACATCCACTCAAGGACTGTCATAGACTCTCAGTGAGGAACCATCGAAGTAGTATACATGAGGCAGTGAGGCCAAACACCAGCACTACAAAGAAAAACATAAATAAGAATCTCACTCTGAACAAATAATTTTGATAATGGAAATTGCATGAATGCTGAATAGAGCTTTTTAGTAAATATGTCTTCATTAGCTCAATATCTATAAAATATTTATTATTCAAATTAAATTATTATTCATGTCTTTTCTTAGGAATTCAAATTCAACTGATGGCCTACTTCAAGAATATATGTTTTATACATTTAATCCTATCAAAATATTTACTGTAAAATATTATTTCTATAGATAAGTTACTGTGAATATCGGTTTTCTCATCTGTAATACCAGGATAACAGCACCTAGCTTCCACGGACCTGTGCTATGATGATATATATAAACTCAGACTGAGACATCTCTGAGGATGTGGAAAACCACTCATCAGTAAATAGGACATGATCTTTTTATATATGAATATTATTTCTTAACCCTTTATAACTTCTCTAGCATATCATTCCAACTAGGCCTCTTTAAAACTTTTTCTCCATAGATTCTTTGCATATACAGAGCAGTAATTTTCAGTGACATCATCGACAATGACACTGATACTCACTGAAAGGCTTTGCAATCAATCTCCTTACATTCCCCAAGGTCTTATTTTAGAAAGACAAAAGACTTATAAAAGAAGAACAAGGAGGAGAAGGGATAAGGTTCTGAGATTTAGTTGTGAGTAGAAAAAAATTTTTTGTTAAGCTCTTTCACTAAACTGAAGCTCAGATTTCTCTCCACAGTGGTTACTCACTTTTCAAAGCTTTGACTCTCTTACTATCCTAATGCTGAGTTGTGGGAACTCGATGTGAGACATTTGCCTAGATTGTCAACATTTTTTGTTGTTGTTTGTTTGTTGTTTTGTTTTTTTAACCTTTGATTTTTGTCAGTTAATTTCAAACTCTTATTTTCCCCAAATCAAAATTTGTGGCCTAAACCTAAAGCAGATTTTTTTCTGATCACAAGCCAGCCAGACTGAACATCTTCCCTCCCCTGGAACCATCAAGAAGTCTTTTCTTCTATTCAGGATGAAGAAAGTTTCCTCTTTCTTCTGTAGTGAAGTGAGTTAAATGCCTCCAGGCTGAACTTGAACATTAGCTCTTTTGGTTGATTAACAGCTAGTGGATAAGTCATGAATGCTCTTTCAAACTAGCAAAGGCCTCCTTACTTCTTCCATCATTCTAGGATTATTTGACCTAAGAAAAGTCTATTATAAATTACATTTCTTTTCTCAAGTGTCTATTACTAGGGACACCATCCTTTAGCAATACCACATGCATTGTTACTACTTTTTTCCAGACTATATATATTTTTTCCAGACTATATATATATATATATATATATATATATATATATATATATATATATATATATATATATATATATATATATATATAGTGGCTGTGTGAATATGATAAGGGATGTCTTTTCTTTA